ACAAACTAGGCAACCAAGTAGCGCGTAGGTTTCCAGAAACGATTCAACTGTCGTATGCTCTTCTGTGACCTTGGTCTGGCTAGGAGTCTCTTTCATCCATTTCTTAGAATCGACGATAGTGTCAACAGACTTATCCAGCAAGAGGACATCGCGAAGAGGTACAGCGCGCTCGCGTAGGGTCGGGGAGTTAAAAACCCGATCGAATGCTTCGGTGAACATTCTCACAGCTTTGGCCGAACGCGGAGACCCAGGCTCATCGCTGTATGAGTTCAAGATGCTCGACTTCTGCTGGGGAGTGACATTATCTCCCTGACTCGCCATATAGCGGATAAGTGTGGTCTTGGTGCAGTTCTCAATGGCAAGCCTATCCAGCCAAGAGTCGAGGTACAATAGCAGGGTAGTGGCACGTTCCTTTTTAATAGTCTTAGTCACCTTTTGATGCCTGCTGAGTGTGGCAAAACCGGAAGTCTTGTCCATATTTTCTAGGTTCTCAAGCCATCGGCGGTAGACGCCCTCTTCATTATCTGCAAGATCTCGCAGATGGGGGACATAGGTAAGCATGGTATTTGGTGAGAGAATGTTCTTCCTAATCTCCACATGATGGAAACTGTAGGAAGGCACCGTGTCGACGTTAGTCTTGATGCAGATAACTTGATAGTGTTCACGCTTTTCTTGCTTCCCGGATCTACCCTGGCCCACTTGCTATATGTTTGTTAGCTTTCTACTCCTCTTACGGTCGGGCTACAGTTATCGGAACCTGTTTAAAAAAGTCTCGGGGGCCAACCTTGGTTCTGATTTTCATCGTATCTGATGACTTCCCGCCGGCTTCCACCGGGGTCCGCTTCATATCAGCAAACCAGTCCTTCTTACTGGTGAACTGCTGCACAGGAGCTTCCTTCTTCCACGCCATATGGATTAGGCGGGCGGTAAGATTAGCTCCATCGGTGCCGATTTCATCTGAGAAGCTCCGAAGTGTCTCCTCTATCTTATCAGTGGTCCACTCGTGCTTCTTTGGGGTATGATGTTTAGGTGTTCGGTGGCTTGAGGGTGACTGATGATGAGCCGATGAAGGCGTTACATCTGGGGCATTCTTAGTGCTACTAGTTGATCTGACCGATAATGGAGCCATTTTCCCATCCTGGTTGGTGATTTTCGATGCAGACCCCTTGGCTGATCGGGTAGGTGTTGCAGCATGGATAGATGTAGAGTCTTCCTGTATAGAGGAGGTTGTTTGGCGATCTAGTGCTGGCGGGCTTGCAAGTTTTCGGGTGCGTGATCCTGGTTGAGAGTGCGAGTGCGATTGCGATTGCGATTGCCTACCTCTCCGAGGCGTACTATCTAAGACATGAGAATCGTCAGAGTCCGACACGATCATAGTAAGATCAATGTGATCTCTCGTCATCGCGCCACAGTAGCCGCGGCCAGGGGGCGCGCCTTCAAACTATAAAATAGGATGCTCCTTCGGTCTTCGTCCTCGATTTCAAGTTTACTACCCTATGGATACTGTGAACGCGATTTTGTCATATCCATCGTTTACTAGGTATCAAATGCAGTTAAGTGGAAATAGTCGCAACGGTAGAAACTGCGTCTGCTGCCCTATAAATGGGAACGCGTCTTAAGCTACCTTGAGGGACCCCTTAAAATTAATTGTATAAAAGCTGTGATAGAAAGAGTTAGCATGGTAACTATATAGACCTAAATGAATACTAACCGATAAATCACGAATAGTTACTATGTATAGATTAGGGCAGGACTAGAGTAGACAAGCTAGAGTAGACAAGCTGAGAGACGGTTAGGTTGTCAAATGGTTAAATGGTCATGACCCGATGTGAGTTTTAACTTTTTGTGACGCGTCGATGAGATGAGGAGGCGACACGGTCCAAGATGAATATCCTTATCTAATCGTTACAATAGGAGTGTGGCTTCTAACTTGTGGCTGGTACATAACTACCCCATTCCTTTCATGTAGACTTCAAGGTTGCATTAGTGTGAGAGGTATAGCTCATTGCTTAAACTGTTTTGTGCGAATCAGATATTTAGGTAGTAAATATTTTAGCTCTAAGAGAGCTTTATCACTTTAGTTAGTAGCTAATTCATGCGCATGAAATCTATAACAGGCACTCGAGTTCGAAGACAGAGGTAGGATCTAGGACTCGTCTATGTATAATGTAGGCCTACCTGTATAAGTATTGTGCAATGGAGATCGCTGCTAGAAATATTGACGCTACCAATTTATGTACTATATGTACGTACATATGTACGGTATGTAAATCCATGTGCCGTATTGTTGTTTTGGGATTAGCGTGTCTTATTATATACATGTACGTAGTAGACATACAATTCGGCAGCGATGACGTAGAAGTAAAGGGACCAGCTTTTTTTGTTCCCACTTTTTGATTGTCTTAGCTTTCTAACAGCCCAAGCCGCCGTAACCCCATCTCACCAAATGGACCCATCATATCCCCATCCTCCATTCTTAAAACATACAAGAAGTGTGTACCTTACGTATGCGATCGTCTAAATCCGTCCACCTTTTTAACGACCAAAGATCGCCGACTAAAAATCCCCATCCACCTTTCCCACACCTTTCCTCCAGACCTTCGATTATCGTCGCATTGTGCTACCTGTCCCGCGTCTGCCTAGAGCGAGTATAGTAAACAAACAGCTCTTCACGGCCCAACTTCGCTTGAGCCTCTTCGACGTCTTTTCGTAACACCACTCGCAACACTACAATAATCCGAGCTGAACGTCATTGCAAATCCAACCCACGAATCATCGTCAATCCACATCTCATGATGCATCGCACGTATTCTATGCGCCAGACTCGGGCGCCTACCGCCTCTCAGATCCAGGTAAGTCTATCGATATTCTTTGTGCAATGCGCTCTAGATTGTAACACATTGTTGACTTCGTCGGCCACAGAACCCACCTCCCCCGCCATCATCCACGAAGTCCGGGCGACTGTTCGGAAGGGGCGGACTAGGTAAGTTGCTTATAACTTCCCCAACTTGTGATCGTCTTCTTGATTTGTCTCTCCAGCTACATCTCTCGAAGTCAAGCATCTAATCACAATGCTAGGACATGCGCTCCGTCGTAATGCCGCTGGCGCCTTCGGGCCCGATCTCGCCAAGAAGCTCACCCAGCTCGTCAAGATGGAGAAGAATGTCATGCGCAGCCTAGAGCTCGTCGCGAAAGAGCGCATGGAGGTCGCTGTAGGTTGCGCTTCTACGTTCAAACTGTATGCGTCTTGCTGACGCATCTATCTAGCAACAATTGTCACTCTGGGGTGAGCATGCGGACGAAGACGTGTCTGACGTCACCGACAAGCTTGGTGTACTCATCTACGAGATCGGTGAACTTGAAGATCAGTATGTCGATCGCTACGACCAGTATCGGGTTACCATGAAGAGCATCCGTAACATTGAGGCATCAGTTCAGCCCAGTCGAGATCGTGAGTATTGCTAAGCAGACTGCTATTATTCAACTCCGCATGCTAACCTCAAGTTAGGCAAGCAGAAGATTGCAGACCAGATCGCTCAGCTCAAGTACAAAGAACCCAACTCCCCCAAGATCGTTGTCCTCGAGCAGGAACTCGTCCGAGCTGAAGCTGAATCGCTCGTTGCCGAAGCCCAGCTTTCCAACATCACCCGCGAGAAGCTGAAGTCTGCCTACGCGTACCAATTCGATGCTCTCCAAGAGCACTGCGAGAAAGTCGCAATCATCGCTGGCTATGGCAAGCATCTGCTCGAGTTGATTGACGACACACCCGTGACTCCTGGCGAGACCCGCGCTGCCTACGACGGCTACGAAGCTAGCAAGGCCATTATTCAGGACTGCGAAGATGCGCTAACTAACTGGGTGTCATCGAACGCAGCCGTGAAGCCCAAGCTATCTACACGAGCCCGCACCCTTTCCATGCGACGTCGCAACAACATCAAGGCTCGATCCGAAGGCCTAGATCTGTCAGGTCAGGACGCGCCTCTCAATGACCGCGAGTCCTGGGTCGCGGCTGGTGAACACAAGAACCACGAGTACGAGGACGAAGAAGAGGAAGAGGACGAGCAGGCCCATTCCGTGTTGGATTCCGACGGCGGCCTGAATGGAGAGCACCGAGGCCGAGCACCAGAGATGACAGCCTAGGCATCTTAGTCGATTTCTATGCTGGTTGATGGTAACCCATTATTAATGTCTAATACGAGGGAAGTTGAAAATGGCGTTGGATTGTGATGAAATCCTTGACGCAGACGCAGGCATCCGGTCCCACGGTTATTGAAGCACACGATGGCATGGACGAAGTAATTATATGGACGACTGAACAGGTGATGAATGCACGTGTACGGAGGTCGGTGGAAAGAGCTTCTGCACAACTCATGCTAGGAGAGATCCTCTTACTTTCTTCCGAGCACCCGAATAATAGTGCTTTCTTGTACTTATAGTGACGAAGAGAATCTGCCAGTGCTTTTCTGGGGATGATATACGAGACGAGCTTTGCAAGAGAGAAACAAAGAGCTGATAATCACTGTATCTGCATCTTCTTGATGACACGATCCGTGAGTAATGTTTAATGTACCTTTCATAGCTTATGCCCCTATTCGAGAAGACCTTTCTATGGTTCTTTGCAGGTAGCTCAGCTCTACTACCCCCTTGTACAATATGAGAAGACTTCCCCCCAGAACTAAAACGTAAACCTGCCTCTGTTCAAGAAATCGTCTGTGTGAATGCCCTCTCTCAGAGGTCAGCACATCTGCTGGCCCATGTAATGCGGAGAGCACAATAGGTACTTTACACCTTCAAGCTGATGGTACTTCCAAACATGTTAGACGCCGTTTAGAAATGTGTCATTCCTTCAAGACATGCAAACAGAAAGGGAGATTGGAATGCATAGCAGTAGAGTACGTCGAAGATATCAGTAAGAACCAAGGATAATATACCCCCTCCCCCCCAAAAAAAGGCCTCCAGTTTGACCTGAACCCAAGGCCTCCCAGTCAAAAGAAATTGCTTGCACCTACTGGGATTTGCACCCAGGTCTTTCCTGACCACTATACCATGTGAGAGGAATGAGCTAACTTCTGCTCCATAGGTGCTTCACTTGTTTGTGGTGGTATCATATCTATTGTGTACTATAAGCTTAGGTCATGATTCGATACAAAAGTGATAGAATGGGTGAAGTAGGTGAGAAAATACACATCTAGCCCAGGATCCCCAGGCACGACTACGTAGTGTCCTCTCTTAACCAAGTAGAGTATCATCCGTTCTTTGGGCAACTTCCAGGTTTCTAACATATACATCTATGATATCTGACCTTCGTATATAAGGTATCTTCCCGGGGTCCGACTGATTTTTTCGTTGGGATTAGGTACCTACCTTTTATTCTCTTGCTGCACAGTACTAGAAAGGAGGGCCACGATCAGACGTATAATCAGGAAATTTTCACAAGCTCTTCTCTATAGTAAGAATATCAAGTCGGAAGGCTAAATAGACAAAGTAGCCGGAGTACAGGAACGTAGAAGTATGATATCCTAGAACTTACACTTGAGCTAATCCGCCTACCTAATGTACAAAGACCATCATGCCCCTGTGTCAGTAACTCAAACTTAACACCATTATCAATACGTCGAATTATTTCATACATATATGTACTAATCACTATCCAAGCTCCTAGGTATCTCAGTATTCCTACCCTCTCCCTTAGCACACTCTCAGAACATCAACACCACCTAGCTACCTCCCCCTTTTCCTCTCAGACACTAAGCATCTAGGTAGTTAATTATAATCCGTCCTTGCCCCCAACAAAGCCCTCAAACTCTTCTCCCCCGCCGACTCCGTCTTCCCCTTCCCCAACCTCCGCATCACCCTCTTCACCAACCCTCCACCACCACCACCCTCCTGCTTCTGCACCTCAAGCCCCAACGAGCGTCCCATATATGGTCCCTCCTCCGTAAACGCCACCCTCTGCGCCCTCGCCCTCCTATTATCCCAGCCATCCGTCGGACTATCCGTCGCGTGGTAAACAGCAACGACCTGGCCCGCGACCGTGACAAACGAGCCGTGTCCGGGCCCAAACGGGCCAACACCGTATTTCCCCGCCCGCAACAGCGGCTCTTCGCCTTTCTCCCACGACACCGGGTCCAGCGGATCGCCCCCGACGTACTTCAGGAGCCCCATCTTGTACTCGTGGGTCCAGCTGCCGGCGCAGCTATACACGAGGCCCTGCCAAGCGATGCCGCCGTCCGGGGACCGCAGGAACTGCGGGCCCTCGTTGATGCCGTGGTCGGTGCCGTTGCCCTCGCGCGTGATCTCCCAGTCGTGCTGCGGCGTCGATATCACGACGGCGGCGCTAGCGGCGCTGGTCGGGTCCGCGAGCTTCATGATGAAAAGCTGTTGGAGCAGGTCCGAGGAGGAGGAGGAGTCGGGGCTGTCGAGCGGCCAGCCCGAGTAGACGAAGTACCAGTGCCCGTTGAGCTCGAAGACGGTGCCGTCGATGGCCCAGTGGTCTGGCATCGAGTGGATGCGCCCGAGGAACTCCCATTGGCCTCTGCATGGATCTTCGGAGCTGGGGGGCCCGCCTAGGACGTACATCCGATGGCTCTTATTCCCATGGTTTGGGTTGGCCGCGGCGTAGTAGACGTACCATCGCCCGTGCAGAGCGTGTAGCTCGGGAGCCCAGAGCTCGGCTGAGTGATCTGTACCTTGAGGTGGAGTCCTGAGTGACCGGTCAATATAAGATGTCAGACTAGGTAAGTATGTCCGGAAGCCAACCATACCAAACTACATGTCTGTCAGCAGCGCTCTCTATATCAGCCAGGCTGCGGGAGGACCATATCTCAACTCTGTTTCCAGCAGTAAAGGTCTAAGCACACTGTTAGCTGTTTCTTAAACAAAGGTAATATTGTAGGACGTGAGGACATTGGTGGTGGCATACAAGGTAGTAGCGGCCCCTGAAAACGGTCACAAACGGGTCCGGTGTGCTCATGGAGGCGATGGTGAGCGTCGAGTTATCGTACTGCATGGCTGCGGCGGGACTTCCTAGTGACGATAGCGACGTTAACGCGCGGCTCACACCTGTCAAGGCCCCCTTCAGCAAGATATACAGCATTGCGCTGTTGGACCTGCGACCTTTGGTCGGTGACGTAGTCCCAAACTATCCTTGTTTCAGTGTGCCGATCCGTGACTCTGCGATTAGGTTTCACGAGGGGAGGGATGCTTAAAAGCTCGTACCCCTTGTGAGGATAGACGAATCGAAAGGCGAACTAGGCAGAATGGCGAATGTGTTACTCGATTTCCGGATACTGTAAGGTTATGTCTAGATGCAGGTTGTCCGGCGCAGTGAAGGTTGCCTGGAGATAGCTGACGACGCAAGTTGGATGGATGACAAGATCAAGTCAGTTTCTCAGAGTGTGCGCCACCAGCCATGACAGCGTTGAAACGTGCGAGATGAATGTAGTAGGTATGATTTCGGAAGATGAAGATGACTCTCGATATTTAACAAAAATCTCAAAAAATTGTGTGCAACGGACGGTCGCAACTTGCCAACCAACAACACATGACCGCGTAAGTTCCCACCCTGCCCACCGAAATAACTCCTGAGACGAAACCATCGCTGCCTCCCAATGATGTATAGGTAAATTTACACTTTCCTGCTTTGCATAGTTTGACCTTGCATGCCTTGCATACCTCCCATACCTCCTTCAATGTTTGTGTTTGCATAATACAGAACAAATCGAGTAATGCTTCAATGTTTATAATCCCAATCCCAAGCGCCGCGCTACGCATACATGTCTCCCTAGATTGCCATCATCTTTTTTTGTATGGAGCGTATACCGTCCAACGCCCCGAAGCAAATGGTATAATGACAGTGAGTAGATAAAAAGTCAATCCAACGTAGATATCATTCCAACAAAGAAAAATTCTTGAACGGTGTGTTTGCATTAAGGCCGACATGCGCCTCGCTCATGATGTTCAGAAGAAGAAAAAAAAATAACATTAGCCTCCTCTCCTTGTTTCCACAAAACTCCTTAACAGGTAGGTAGTTAGGTAGCTATGTCGAGTTGAAGTCTCCAGCGTAGGCATGCTCCGCTTCCCACTTAAGGAAATCTCCCAAGTCGTGTCCGAGATTATATCCCATGGGCACGACATCCATATCGTCGCCCTCAGGACTACGAATGACGCGTAGATCCAGCATCGGGCTCTGCGGGAGACTCGCGTAGCTCTCGCGCGAGTTGTAATCCTTGGCCCCGTTGCCGTCGCGGTCATCAAGGAGCATCTTCGAGATATCCACCTCGAGCCCAGCCATATCGCGGTCCAGCTGACGGTTCTCGGCCGCCGCCTTGCGCCGCAGCGACTGTTGCCAGCGGTGGTGCGGGCTGTACGGGTTATCTCGCTCGATGTCGGTGTACGACACGTCCGAGTAGTCCTCGCCCGACGTCGTGCTCGTGGGGCTGGGCATCTCGAGCGGCTGGGCGACGAGCCCGCCGGGCCGGCTAAAGTGCCACGAATGGAACCAATCGACGAGGTCCTCGACCTCCTCCGCTTCTCGGCGGCGGATGATGTCGTCGCTTTCGGAGAACCAGTCCCCGGCGCCTCCGGAGATGGCCATCTGGAATGCCGTCCAGTCCAGTCCCTCGTCCGCTCCGACTTTTATGTCCGCCAGGAGGTCGCACTTGGCTAGCCGGATTGGACCGTGGCGGAATCGGGGACTGGTCATGGAGCACGGCGACGCTTGGAGGAAAACGTAGTTAGAATCGGCAACCATGTCCCGGTTACCTCCGAAATTTTGGCTGTTGTAGAGCTCATCCTTTGACGCCGAGATAGCGGCGCTCTCTGGAATGCTGGGTAACGCTGTCTTCTGGCTCCGCCCAGCAAATCGCGCGGCGTGTCTCAGCGGTGGCGTAGGGAAGTGGGCGTCATTGTATTCCAGTGGTTCTTCTCCAATATCCGTCTGCGACGCTGCAGTAGGTGTCTTGTTCGCATCATTATCTTCATTGCGCCCTTCTACTGCGAAGTCGCGCCGCACAATATTCTCAAATAATGGTGGACTAGGCTTCTCTGCAGTCGGCGTCTCAACATCGAGTTCCGCACTTGCTGATTTGATCCGGGAAGGAAGATCGTCGAGGTGGAAAGGCTCGACCGGCGTATCGCTCGACTCGGTGTCAAGAGTCTCAGTCGACTTCTCCGACTGCATGATCGACATTCTGCGCAGTCTGTACGCCTCCAATTGACTCGGGGTGAGCATCTCATCCACCTCGATCCTGCGGAAGAATTTCCCGCTGAATAACTCCGTCACATTATCGGACAATGCCCATCCTGGCCCGCTTTTCGCCGCCGACTTGGCTCCGGCAGGCTTTCGGGATGGCCTCATTGACCTCGTTTTCTTTGATTTCTTCGACTTCTTCCTCTTGACCCCGCCAGTCATAGATGTATTTCGTCTAGACGAATTGGTCGGGGAAGTGACGGCTGGAAGTTGTTGGCTAGGCATTCGGGTTTGAGTGTCAAAAGATGTTGGCTTTAGAATTGGCGATGCATCTGGTGTAGGAAGTCGTGGTAATTCTTTGAATGTACTTTCGGCAAGTTGTGCTTCTGCAAGAGCACTGCCAACGGCTTTGAAGGCCTCATCCGCTTCTTGTATGAGTTGTTGAATGTTTTCTGTAAGGCTAGAGGATGACTGCTGTCGTTGCACGTGCGGCTTTGACAGCGCGGCTTTGTTCTCAGATTGGAGTGATAAAGCTTCTATAAGGTCGAAGTTTGGGTCTAGTAATTCCACGTGGCGCTTTAAGGACTCTGACGACCTTGGTTGGCCTTTGGGAGGAGGTCTGGGTGGAAAATCATCACCTCCGTAGCTCGTGGCGCTAGAAAGCTGGAGTGATTCTTCGCTGCGTTCTCCCTTTGACGATATCGAACAAAGAGGTGATTTTGACCTCTTTGAGTCGAGTGATTGCGATAAGCCGTAGTCGTTGTGGCGGTCACTGCTATTGAACGAACTAGCCGAAGAGCGTGGCGTCTCGTATGGTTGTGGAATTGGTGGTAGAGGATCCAAAATATCATGAATGCTTTGTTCCCTGCTAACTATAATCGGCGGCGGAGCCCG